AACGCCCATCTCCTCGAAAGCCCTGGCTGCTGAAGCCGAAGGTGCAGTGTTCGGAGTAGGTGGGCACCCCAGCCGGCGTGATGATCTTGTGCGTCGTAGAGGAATGATCCTGGCCTGAGTTCAGATAGGAGCACCGCTCCCCCTTACTGTGCACTGTGCATCTTGGACGGGCGGTGACGGTGACGGAAGCCGGGCATCATGAACGGCAGAAGCACTCGGATCCTCCTCCTGCCGTACAGCTTAACTTCCGGGCACCGCTTGTCTTCCTTGCTCACCTCCGCTGCGATGTTCAGAGAGTCGTTCATCCACGCGAAGGCCTCGGGCCAGATGGCCCGGAAGGACAGCGCCTTAGTCGGGAACGTAACTCCGGGGAAGAGCTTCGGGAACTCCAGAAACGCAGCCTTGCCCCCCTCCATCACAAGTGCAATCCTCCGCTCCACACGACGGTTGCTCTTGGGCCCGTCGACCGCCGTGAGCTCCCGCGTAATGTTCAGCTCCGCCAGCAGCCCCCAAAACTCCGCGTTGACCCACTCCGTGCCGTTGTCGATCAGAACACAGCCCAGCCCCCCGTGAGTAGCCAAGAGCGATTTGATGGAGGCATACCACGCACGAAAGGCCGCAACCACGTTTGTACTGCTCTTCTCCCGCAGAAAGCAAATCCATCCGTAGTTGGTATGGTGGTCCAGGATCTGCATCACGTACTTGGCACCGCCGCTGGATTGGCCGAACGGACCGGCTAGGTCCATCGCGACACGCTCAAGAGGCCGCGTCGTCCGGCGGGAGGGGGAGATGACCTTGGGGACCGAGCGCTGAATCGCTTTCGACTCCGCACATCCATCGCAGTACAACGGAGTGCCGGTCACCTTGATACCCATCTGCTTGGCAGTCTCGTACAGCGTCTTGGAATTGGCATGACCGAGGGAGCAGTGAAGAGCGTTGTAGTCGATGCTGGATTGCGTGCCAGGCCGTAGCATCGCCGCAACCATCGCGGGGGGCTGAGGAGGTGAGTCGCGTTGAGGCAGTGGATCAACGCGAGTCCCCTGGATGTAATTCCCGTGAGGGAATTTTGTCATGCGCACTCGCCCCCCCAAGATCGATGCTCCATGCCGGTTAAGCTTGATCTCATAGCGATCCTGGATCTTGTTCAGCGACAGAATATCTAGCGCCAAACCCTGTACCACACCAACATTCTGCAGGGTGACGCGCACGTCCTCAGGGCAGTGGAAGATCACATCCAAGTCACCGAAAAACTCTACCGGGATGTGCTTACCGTCGCCAAGCATGAGTAGTCGCTCCTCCGGGAGCGGCGGGCGCCTGTTGTACACCTTTTCCCCAGAAGGGACCACGTGGACTACGGCGCCGGTGTCTCCAAGGAAGACCGTCGAACCCGGGCGATGTGGGAAAAGGTCGGATGGTTCGCGCACGGGGGGGGATGAGGTAACGGAACAGACAAGGTGCATCGCGAAGAGACCGCCACCGAAGGTACCCTCGCCGTTGCCAAGCGCCTCAGGGCCCGCTCCCGCCGCGTCACTACCACCGCTGCCGCCGCCATTTTCACCTTCCACGCCGCCGCTGCCGTGGAAAATGTCGACAAAATCAAAGTAGGGCTCGCCCGGTGTCACCACCTGCTGCTGTACGATCGCTCCACCGCCACCACCGCCGTTGTCACCGCCGCTGCCGCCACCGCCAGGACCACCACCACCGTTGCCGCCGCAACCAGCACCGACCAGCATGGTGTCACTGTAGTATACGCCATCGGCCGCCGGGACATCACGAAATTGGACGGCCGATGTATCCGCGGCGGTGTACGCGTACTCCGGACCGAGGGCACCAGCAGAAGTGACGACGTTGAGGTGGGGGTGCCGGTTGCTCTTGGCACAGTTGCGCCACATGTGACCGTACTGGCCGCATGCACCGCACGTGCCCTCGAACCTGCGGGGGGCGGCGCAATCTATGGCGTGGTGACCGTGCCTTCCACAGCGGCCGCATCTGTGCACTGTGCCCATCGGCGCGCCAGGTGGAGGTAGTGATTCCGGCTGATGATACACGGCATTACTACCGCAAACGTAGATGCCACCAACACCGTTCAAAGCGGGCTGTTGCTGCTGCCGCTGCTGCTGCCGCTGCTGCTGCGACTGCCTGTACGGCTGCATCTGCGACTGCTGTTGGTACGGTTGTTGCTGTCGCATCTGCTGCTGCGGCTGTGGGTACGACTGTTGCACCTGCCGCTGCGGCTGTTGGTTCGGCTGTTGCAT